CTTGGAGCAAGCAACTACCATACTGAGCCTATGTCACGGCATTTTTATAGACCAGTCTATTTTTAGGCTATTTTTCCCGCGAAATAGGTGACTTCTGGTCTACGTCAGTGCAGATCAGTAAGAACAAAATGGCGGCTTCAGGTGGACATATCAACGTAAAAATAATAATACACCGAATGCACCAATTCTCTCTCCATTTCCTTGTTCCATTCCTCGCTTTCTTCATTTTCAGTCTCCCACAATCCTTTGCCATATGTATCACACTTTCAACTTGCAGAGAGATGGAAAAAGTAGAAAAAATTATCGATCGGAGTCACTCACCCTCAGGGTGAAGTCGCAGTGTCTATTTTGGAGTTTTCTTTTTGATCAAACTTTATCCCTTTTCGGACGTTGTTCCTGTGTTTTATAATGCTGTAAAAAGCGTTTGATAAATAATGAAGCGGCATAATTCAAGCGATAATCATGATCGACAATGTCAAAACAAGGAGCCACGCAAGAAAGTTGTGTATGAGTCTTCATCCTCGAACACCTCGACCTCCATGAAGGATATTTTTTGCTGCAGGATTGCACAAAAAGAAGCCCAACAAGCCCACGTTTGAATGTACGGCCAGCCAAAATAATGAAGGTATTTCATTACTTTCTTGTAAAGATGAACTTCCTTGGCCATACCACAATTTCACTTGGATATGCCCCAATTTTAGTCGGGACATATTGTGTCATGTTGAACCATCACACACAAAAAAAAATATTCTAAAAATAAATGGCTTATACCATGGAAGATTTTTCCAAATATTAGAGCTTTATTATTGTAGCAACGATTTATGATTGCTGCTATTCAAGATCTTGCCAGAGAACCAAACCAGGAGGCAAGTGGGAAAACAGCAGCACACTTAGATGCTTGCAACCTACTTTTTGAACAAGGACTTCTCAGCAGGTAGAGGATCAACAACAGAAGCAGCCCAGTTCTGGCCAATATTAAGAGGGGGATGTCTTTCTTTGAAGAATGGTATGCTGCACATGATGCTACAGGTATATTAATTGCTGGAGCCTGCATCAATAATTACTGTATTTCAAGTATTGAAACACAGGCAAAACTTTAAAATACGCTCTCTTTTCTTCTTTTTTCTGAAACTGTTGTTGTTACCCATTCTCTTCTTTCAAATCCCCATAATTCCTTGCGCCTTGGGGGGATAACCAGTCTGACAACAAGGCAAAGGACGCCATATCAGTTTACAAAACTCTTATATATATATATATATATCATCTTAATTTACATGGGAAAAAACGACTTTTTCTGTGCTCCAAGCTGCTCAAATGATCGGAAAAGAAACCCAAATCTCTTACTTGACAGAATGTACATCTTGCCTGTGCTCCTATCCACGAAGTGTCTTGTACTTTCGCACAGTTTGCTCTTCATAACCAACTCCAATTAAATATTACTTGACCATTGACTCATCCATGAGCATTGGTATGCCTGTTAAGTTTTCTTCCATTCTTTGTGCTTCTGTAGATAAGCTATGGTTGGTAAAGTCCAGAACGCTGACAGATTCTCAGTCTTTGTAGCGGTCGTGGATGATGTTCACAGATTTAAAGCGTTGCATGTAATGTTTACGAGTGCTTTCTTCCCGATATTTTTCTCAAAATCTACAGAGAGGGTTCTACAAACTTCCTTAAGCTTTGGTTTTGTGAGTTTAGAAACATCTTTATAACAATTTGGTCGCTTTAAATCCCGGTGGATGAACTCCCTTATAAGGGCTTAATTGGGACGTGCGGCCAGCTAGGGTATGTTTTTCGAGATTTTTGTCATAAACAGGGTATCGAATTTATCATTTTTTGTCTTAATTAGGGTATTAATTTATCAAATTTTGTTTTAAACGGGATATATTTTGGGAAGATAAGCAGAAAATCTTTTACAAGCTCTAATTTTAATTAATATTGAATTCTGTTGATTTTGGCATTGATACCAGGCACATTAAATGTCTTAAACAGGGTATCAAAAATCGAAATCTGTCTTAAACAGGGTAGGAAAATCAGCGATATTTGTCTTAAACAGGGTCAGGGTATGGGGGCCGCGCCGCACCTCCCCACCCAGGAATATATCGATTACCTCCCCCCGGCTGTAGATCCGTTCGTTTAGTTGGAGCCGCCATTTTGCTTGTAACCCGGGCTCCAAAGCGCAAGGTATTTTAGGTAATGTGAAAAAAGAGAATACAGTGACACCTCTATTAGCTCTGTAGGCCACTTGCATTCAGCAGGATAAAAAGGTGATCTATGTTTCAAAATACTTTTTCTGTCTGCCAACATAAGTTGATCTGAAATATAATTCAAATATTTTAACGAGAAATACTCAGTTTACTGAATTGTTCTACACTTCATTGATTGCATTATACACGGACTACTCCAAGAAAGCCTAAGAGAAGAAGTTTTTAGCATGGCAGGTATATATTGGTTTGGCCAAGAATCCCCTTTATGAAAAGTCTTCTTTGATTAACTACTGATTGAAGAATGCTCACAAATCAGCTCTCTGGCATGTCTAGATAACTTGAATAACTGTATAAGCATACAACTGCCTGGATCTCCATTCCATCCTTCACTAACATTTCATTTCTCTTTTTTAGACTTGAGATCTTCTTTACCTTGTGGTCAGTGGCTTTCTGTTATTCTGTGACTGCTAATTTGACAATGTTGCTCCAAAGGACAAATATTTTATTAGTCCACTCCCCATAAATGGAAGTGCTATTGAATCAATTTATAGCATCCTCAAGTTTTCCAGTGGAAGAAACTTGTCTTCCTTATCCTATGGTCCTTCTCTTGGGAAACTGATCAATAGAAAGGGAATGATACAGAATAATAACTCTGAAAAGAATTATAGGGATGCTGCTGATGTTGCATGTTCTTCAAGCAACTTGTTGATACCTTGTCAAAGGCTGCCAAATTGCCCCTGCATTTTCACTTTCCCAACAAGCATTTCCCAGTCCACAAATGGAGATAGGTTTGCAGCAATGCATGTACACTAATTACAGCGACATTTGGTGCCTACTGCCTCCAGAATAAATTAGATTTGTCACTTCCCCGGAATCAACTTCCAGATATGTGGTTTAATTCCTTTGTTGATGCCATCTGTGATAGAAATGATGTTTATGATGACCTTTATGGCAATACTGCTGTTTGTCTTGATGTAGAAGATGTCGTCAACATACTAGGGGATTTATTTAGTGTAGAATCAGCTGATAGCATATTTGTATTTACAAATGCTGATGAATTTCAGGATTTAGTTTACCACATCAATGGAGTGATACAGGTATCACATACAGGCAACTATGGTGTGATGATTTCGCAAGATATGACTGTGGGCGTTTCCGACAAGAGCAACTGCCTTTGTGCCATTATTGATATCCATCAGCATGTGAACAGCATTGGGAGTGGCATGATCATCATGGCAAATGATCTCAAGAAAGCTATCACTCAATATGCTAATTGCCTGCACCAAAATCAGAATCTCACTCTGGATGTGGGGACCCTAAACTGAGTGAAATATACAACGTAAATAATTCCAATATAGTTCAAAAAATACAAGTCGAGAGTCCATGAATATTTTTTTAAGGGCCCAGTTTCTATTCTCGAATTGCTAAAATTTTGTTAAGGAGCTATTCAACAATTGTAAAACATCATATATAATAAATATGTATCATGTTTTACAATTGTTGAATAGCTCTAATATATCTATATATTTATAATTAATCAGTTTCTGAGAATCAGGGAAGAACGTACACGTTTTTTATGGCGTCAAAAAGGAACAATCAGACAGAAAAGAACGTAAATCGGATGAGAGAATCAACTAGAGAATGAAGAATGAATGAATGAATGAATGAATGAATGAATGAATGCGTGAATGAATAAGCAAATGAATGAAAGGGTTCAGGGTGTCTACTGGGGGGTGGGGGGGATTGGCGACTACTTTCTTGGATTGGTCGAGGATTGCGCCTTTATTTGCATGGGCGCTGAGTTTCAAAATGGCTGTCTCGCATTTTGTCAATGTTAGGCAGAAACCGATGAACGCAATAGAACAGAATTCAATTCCACAGAACAGTTTGGCGTGAATTAAATAAACCCGTGAAATTCTGGTCGAAACTGGTTTACTATCTTGATAAGAGTAATCATTAACAAAATGGTATCAACAAAAGACGAATTTACAACAGAATTTGAAAGCAGCTGAGCAGTTACATGTAAACAATTCTTTACTAAACCGTGGCGATAATTTTTAATCATGCAAGCAAAATACAGTGTACCCAGGGCTTTAAAACATCTGCTAAAATCACATAAAACATTGCAGTATTCAATAATAATTGCAATTCTCTTGAATATTCTTCAGACGCGCTTTTTTTCTTTCTCTTTCTAATTTCAAATTGAAAGAAAAATAATTATAAATTTTACCTAAACAGCCATAAATTTCCATCCTCATTGCTATGGCCCCGTGCCATGAGACAGGACGAATATGAAGTTCAGCTGCCACAAGTGAAGGATTTGTCAAATCATGATAAACAATGGTCCTCTGGTCTGAGTTTCCTTTAAATGTCTATGTGTACAAAACAAAGATTACTTTTTTTTAAAAGACTGCAGATGATAAAATCGTTTGTGGTATACAAAAGAAAATACCCCAAACTAACATAAAGATGTAAATATCATTAATTAAGAGGCAGTCTCTTTAAAAGCTGTCCGATGCATTTCGGCTCAAAAAGTCGATCGATCTCTTTGAAACTTTGCCCATAAATTTGCCTGTCTAAAAGTGATGGAAACTACCTTTGTTTTTCGAGATATTGTAAAATAACTTTTTTTTCCGAGCGAAAATCGTTTCAGTGCTCAAAGGCCATTTTTAACAGCGCCAATCGTCTAAAATGACCCAAATTGAATTACTCGTTTTTTATCATAAAACTCTTGTTTGATGAGTATTTATGCTTCGCAAATTTAGATCGATTCTTTTAGAGAACAAGTCACGTTAGTCTTTATTAACGGTTCTGGACACTGAAAATTATTTTTTAGTTTGACAGCTACTTTGCCTTCGCCGCCGTGACCGTATATATCCTACTTTTAATTTCGGCTCAGCGAAACATTCCAACTTCCTCCCCATGATGTTTTTCATTCAAGCTATCTAAAACAGGGCAGAGGATTATGGAAATATAAAAATATTTTGTAGCTTTGGCGAACTTCTGGCACAGCCGGTTAACCTAATATGCACAAAAATTCCAAACCAACAATGCCCAAAAAGTGGACTCAATTATTTACGAGATTTTCTTCTAAAGCTCATAGTTGACACCTGATTTGAGCACTTTGAAGCTTTTCCGTGCTTTACGATACCTTAACACAGCATTTAGGAGAGAAAAATCCCCCCCACCCCATCCACAGAAATACTACAGTCGAAAGGTGACTCTGATCTCTAGGCGACCTACTGTTTTGCGTATCACCCAGTAGTGACAAAGGAAAAAAATAAATCATTAAAAAAAAAACAGGATAAATATGAAAATAGTCATGTTAATCCAGAATTTTTATCATTATCCATTAAGATAGTGTTCCTATTAATTTTACTTGAAATGCAGCCATTTCAATTTGGAAAATGTAAACTGTAATGGTATTATAGTGTGCGACGTGAACTAATTTATTCAAAGGAGTCACTGATCTGCTGTATTTATTGCCCATAAGTTTCTAGAAAATGATATATTCACGAAAACAAGCCAAATGAGCCAGGTGGATTGTTATTTTCAGCGATTTTTCAAGACTGAATCGAAAGGAACTGCTCATAACCTTCGTCAGGAGCCCATGTCTTGGAGCAAGCAACTACCATACTGAGCCTATGTCACGGCATTTTTATAGACCAGTCTATTTTTAGGCTATTTTTCCCGCGAAATAGGTGACTTCTGGTCTACGTCAGTGCAGATCAGTAAGAACAAAATGGCGGCTTCAGGTGGACATATCAGCGTAAAAATAATAATACACCGAATGCACCAATTCTCTCTCCATTTCCTTGTTCCATTCCTCCCTTTCTTCATGTTCAGTCTCCCACAATCCAATAATTCCAATATAGTTCAAAAAATACAAGTCGAGAGTCAATGAATATTTTTTTAAGGGCCCAGTTTCTATTCTCGAATTGCTAAAATTTTGTTAAGGAGCTATTCAACAATTGTAAAACATCATATATAATAAATATGTATCATGTTTTACAATTGTTGAATAGCTCTAATATATTTTGAAGTTCATAATAGATATATGAAGTTCAAAATAACATGATGAATATGATACGACCTTGAAAAACAACATAAGAGTGTTCGTTAACTTGCCTGCAAATAATTATGCAAAGTTACATAATAGCAATACACAGTTACATACGTTTGGTAAACAATGTGTGTGACTTCAGTTTTGGTCTAAGCATTTCATCTGCGTCCACAACCTTGCCGTCCTTCTTGAGGTCTCTCTCGACCTTAGCATTCATGAACTCATAAATACGCGTGTTTGCATGTTGAAATGTTGGCCGACTAAAAATCTTTCAACAATTAACCGCTCCTGGGAAGTATTTCCAGATCGAAAATTTGATAGGAATTTCATCCACGCTGCTGAGAATACAACTTTCCTATTTTGCTTATCTGGTAGCTTAGAGCAGTCACTCGCAAGTGTTGCTAACTTGCGACAAAATCCAGCGATGAGAAGCCGAAAATTCGCCTTTTGTTCCTCGCTAAGCCTGTGCTTTGTGGAGCGTTCCCTTTCTGGAAAATACTTTCGCCCGTGGACTGCCGGAAACTTGCGGGAAATTTCAATTTCCACTTGAGCGGCCTCTTGCGTTGAAAATATCCAGGAGGTCAGTCCTTCTAGTTCGTCGTTATTTAAACTACATTTCTGGTTATTGTTCTTATTTTGTAGTTGTTTTTCTGTTTCCTTCCCTGTTGATCGAGGCTTGCTATCGTTCTTCTTCCTTTTTGAACCTGACGGACGCGAAATCGAGCACGCATAAGGTTCGTCTTCATTCCCGCTTTCTTCTGACTTGCTACTTTCAAAATCTTCCCTGGAATCTACACTATAAGGACTAGAACTAACAGAGGATTCCTCGCCTCTCTCCACCATTTTGTTTCTTCTTTTTTTTCTTCCGGTGAAATGATGACGTCAGTTAAAAATTAAGTCCGTGCTTGTGATCGGTCATTGAGTTTTAGAATTCGCGATGAATTCAAACTAAAAATAGATCGGTCTGTGAAAACGCCGTGACAGGAATGTGGGGTGGTTGCTTGCTCCAAGTGATGGGCTCCTGCCTTCGTAAATATTGTGTCAGGAAACGCAACCATACAAAATTCAATTACGGGGTTCGTCCGCAAAATATTTCTTACCAGGTTATATTAATTTTAAAAAGGAAATGTTCCTTTTTCGTGCGCGGAAAAAGGACGTCGTGATACGTATAGTACAAAGTAACTGGCCTAGTTTTCCACGGTGCAGCCAGTGAGTAGCCTCTCGATGACGTCGCTCTGGCTATTTTCAGCTCTTGACGCCCAGTGGTCTTTTGAGTAAAGATGGTTATAGAAAAGATCCCAACTAGAAGGCGTCTACGATAATTCAATGTAGGTATATGAATATCGTGTACTTCTCAATGCTTTAAAGATCGAGTGCTAACGAGCAAAAAACCTGTCATTTGGCGGGTTTGACTTGATTTAGATTGACATTCCATTTAATTGCTATGATGAGCAGTATATGGAGCTTACTCACTCCTCATTACACCGTTGATATTCTCTGCACAAAATTCTATGCGGCTATGCCCACCTGGTGACAACTCTTATACCAAAATGGAGACCATGAATAAAAATGAAAGTTTCCACTCACCTTGTTTTGATACACTTTCGATTTATCACCGGCCTCAATCAAGTACTCTAGTTGATAGTATTTTACCCACTGGCCTGCTCGGCCTTGCGTTGCTATTCCTGTGATCCTGTAGAACTTGTGACCCAAGATAAAGATAAGTCTTTCATCGCTATTGTTGTGCTTTGATACCCAAGCTCTTGTATTGTTCAGTATGGCCTGTTCAGGACCGTGATTTGCATCTAGTTTGGAAGATGCTTTAAGTTTATACTCTTTGATGGATATTTTGTTGCAAATAGCTATATGAAGAATTAAATAAGATTTCATCAGGTGCTAACAACTATCTCAACGCATCACATTGCTTGACAGCGCATTTTTAGATGTACCACGTCTATATACATCTCATGACGCTAATGACATGATATGAATCTTATTTTAAACGATAACAAAACAGAATTTTTAATTATAGGTACCAGGCAGCAGCTGACCAAGGTTAACATCGATTGCATTAGGGTTGGGTCGATTGTTGTTTGTCCGGTAACAGTAGCTAGAAACCTAGAATCATGGTTTGATGAGCGGCTTACTATGTAAACTCATGTTAGCCAGTTATGTGGTGCTGCCTTTTTTCATTTGCATAATATCAAAAGCATTCGCAAGTATTTGTTTCGAGAATCAACAGAAATGCTTGTCCATGCATTTATTACATCTCGTGAGGATTATTGTAACAGCCTTTTGTATGGGCTGCCCAACTACCAGCTTGACAAATTGCAGAGAGTTTTCAATGCCTCAGCCAGGCTAGTTTTTAATGCATCTAGGTTTTGTCATGTCTCACCCCTTCTCCGCGGTCTGGATTTGCTTCCTGTTAAAGCCCTGATAGAATTTAAGATTCTGCTTATTACGTTCAAAGCAATTCACGGTCTTGCTCCTAAATATCTATGTGATTTACTAACGTTTAAATCGTACTTAATATATATAACCTTAGATCTTCAGATAGTATTTTACTTTCTATGCCAGCTACTCAATCCAAGACGTTAGGTGATCGAGCTTTTATGGTAGCAGCGCCAAGGCTCTGGAACTCTCTTCCAAAAGAACTTCGTGCGATTACTAATATGAACAGTTTTAAGACGCATATCAAGACTTATCTTTTTAAAACTTTTTATCCGTGAACAATTTTATATTCAGTTCTATTCTCAGTTTGACATATTATATTGTTTAAGTTAATTTTTAATTTAATCAAAAGTGTAATGTGCTTTTGATCATTGTATGTAAAAAGCGCTCTATAAATTGATAAACTATTATTATTAATATTATTATTATTATTATAGGACATGGCATCACTTCACACCATATGACATGACTTGACATCACTTCACTTCACATCACAACACATCACATTACATCACATCATAAACACAGCACATAACACCATCTCACTCTACAATACCTTACCCCACTTCACACCATATTATTTCCCTCCATATAACATCGCATAACTTCTCATTGTATCACATCACGTCAAATCTCATCACATCAAATTACTTCATATTAAATCATTTCACATCACATCACTTTGCATTGGTTCATATTGCCTCACTTCACATCACATCGCATTATATCATGTCATATCACATCACATCACATCGCATTATGACAGTCCATGATATCACATCTGAATACATTAAATCAGACAATTTTACATCATTTCACTTCAGATAACATTACATCACATCACTTCATGTCACTTCACATCATATCATATCACATCTCATTGCAGCACATTACGTCACACGCAGATCACATCCCATCACATCAATTCGAATGACATGAATGCACTGATTACCTTACTTAATATAACCTTAAGCCGAGTGAGTTACACCAAACTTTCTCGGAGAGAATGTCTTCCTAAACATTTAGCTGTCTTTAAAGTACATCCGTTCAATTAAAAGTGGCTCGCTCGAAGTATTAAGCCTCGTTTTCCGTATTAGGTAAGATCTCGAAGAAATAAAATAGCAATAAGTGAGACAAACTTAAACATTACTGCCCAGCGGTACTAATTTCAGTCGTTGATAATAATCCATTTTTTCTCACATTACGTTTTTGTTTTGCATTTGTTTGTTTCTTGTTCTTTTTTTCTTTTTGTATCAAACAAATCTTGAGGAACCCAGCAAAATTAAGTCTAAAACAGAAGGGGAAAGATCCTGCCTCTACCTAAACTTTTGATGTTTTTTACTTTGACGTTATGGAAACGCATAATAGTCGCTTCCCTTTTAATGTGATGCGGTTCCAATGTTTATGCGACATCATGGACTGGAAGTCGTGCGAGAGCGTTGAATCCGATCCTAGTTACTAAGAAAAATCTTGCGGGTTGACCCACTTCGGTCTGGGGGCCATGGGAACACATATAGATAAATTGTGACGAAACAAGTCAAAACTATGGGTGATGGCACCATTCAAAATATCGTATGTTTAATTCGAGTGGAATTCGAGACGCGCTTTTTGTGAAACTCAAGGCCACAACAACCACATGTTACGCCCTTCGAGTGACCGACTAAGAGTTTGCTCTGATATGTTTTGGAAGGCCACATCAGTCGCAGCAGTCGTGATTTATGGTGCTGTCACCCCAAACAACCTTCATGTTAACGTTCCTGTGAATTCGGCTATCGTTCATTCATAAAACACGCGTCTTGAGTACTTTGTTTTCTAACTTTTATGAGAAAAAAAAAACATATAAAAGAAAACAAAAAAGGACTATTCCAACGGATCTCACTGAGAATTTCACTTTAAAATTTTTTTTAGAATGACTAAAAAACTAAAGCGAAAAAGTTGAATTGGACCTGCCGAACAATTTCAACTTGTGAACTACTGCAGATTGTAAACTTTGGTGGTTTGATATTTTTGACAGTTTAAGTCTTATTTAGCCAATGAGATTACTTGAACCATTCTAACAAGGTTCTGATTTGTTAATTTTTTTGTGAGTTTAATCAGAGTATAAAAAATGCTGACGACACTATTGTTCGCTTTGAAAACTAGAATTGTGTTGATAATAGAGAGTAGTGCAAATGGTATCTTGCGGATTCTTTATTATAAATCAGATAAATATGCCAGGGCCGTGCTCTGGTATGCTGCAAAGCACTTATCAAGCGTGGGGTAGAGCACTCAAGAAGCTTTAGTAGGGAGAAACACTCGACTTCTTCTCATGTTTCTCCCTACGCTTCTTTCATATTCTAGTCGCTTCCTGAGCGCTTTGCAACAGAACACAGAACAATTAAGGCTTCTTCATTATTGAAAAGTGGTGAAGTATGAGCGAACAACGTTATGCTCTCGCATGTATTTTGAGATCTGACAAATTCCGGAAATGGCAGTCTGGGATAATTTCAATTTCAGATATGACCATAATGAAAATAGAACTGACCATTCGTACTGCAAACTCCGCAGTACTTCTGGCATATTTCTTCTGTCGCCAAATACTTGCACTCAGGGACGGGTAACTTATCTCTGCAATCTGTGGGATAAACCGAATAATTCGCTTATAAAAAATGATGGTCAATAGCAATATCCTTCAGTCTTTGAGCATACAGCCGTAGCTTTACTTTCGAGGGGCACCACGTTGATGCACGTGCTATCTATCATGAGATTCGGCTACGGGTGACTTAGAAATACATTGTATCTTCTAGAATATCAATGTTACTTGTCAATTATAATTTTTTTTTGAGACTGTTTTGTTGAGGGAAAGTTTGCGAAGAATATAAGGTTTTCTCTGACTTACCTGTTTAGCAAAGTTTGTTAAGGCTCTGAGAAAATTTGTAAGTCGAGTTTAGTGTTATTTTAGTGTACTTGGAAGTTTGAGAATTAAATACTAAGGAAGTCTTTGTGCTTAATGACTTCTTTTCACCGAGCAGTGGTCTTAACTTTGAAAAATACAGCCACTGAATAAAATATACGATTCTTAAGAAATTTCATAGATATGTCCAGTACATTTAGTTTACAACTACTTTTCCACCGTGGATTGTTGTAAAAACTTGCAATTTTATTGTTATTTCGAAGGGATCATAGGAATATTGAATAAGGCCAGCAGGTGCTGATGTCACATATATCATGTGAGATTGACCAAAAATATTCACAAGGGGCTAGCGATGAGTGGCCCCAATTGTTTACGCTGAAGAGAAGTTTACTTAATTAGTTAACTAAAAACTGCAACATTTTGAAATTTTATTTTTGAAAAGAACATTAGTACTAGAACTTTACAAATTTAGCCTAACTCTTTTGTTTGCAATACAACTTTCAGAAAAGCTGAAACGCATACCTCTAGGACCAGTGTAACTTTTTGTTGTCCCCAAGATAACTTACAACTTCAAAAAATTTCGATTAAAGGTTAACTAATATCCTTAAAATTTTTAACCTATGATTCTGGTATTAAGTTCAACGGAAAAAAAGTTTGAAATACCTTCTTCAGCTTGCACTTGGCAAGGAAGTAAAAGTAAGATTAGGAAAGGCTGTTGAGAAATAAGTAAAGTGTTAGTGTCCATCCAAACAAAAAAGATACGCGAATATAAAATGTGACGCTTACGCAAATAGGATTCATACGGGCTAAAAATTAGGTCCTATTGATAAAGTATTAAAAGAAACTGCGAATACAGTAGCCTTCTTAAACAGCCACTCTGTTAGCGTCTCTGTTAAATGATTTAAACAATATCATTTTTGAAAAGCCAGCTTTTCTTCCCATTCATCAATAATACGGTCTTCCGTGCAAATATCTTTCCGTTCAAGATAAATAATTAATCGTGAATAAACCTAATCTTGCTTCAAACCATTCTTGTCTCGCTATTGCCGCGAGATTATCAGTCATCGTAGTTAGCATTTTTAACTTTTAAACTTTTGTTTGCTCGTGTGTTTAATTTTCATTACATTGATATTGTCTTCGAGCTATGACAATTATCCATGTATGAAACTTGTTATTGTAATTTTTGACAAAACGGACTCTGCAGGAAGAAGATTTTAATTCACGTAGCCATAGACCAAAACAACAGAATATGACTTTAATTTTGACTCACTGAGTAAACATTTTGCAAAAACGCTCATGGAATCTTTAAAATATAGCCTGAAGAATTTTTAGGCTTTATTCTTTCAAGCGAAACTCTTCCCCCCCCCCCCCTCCGTCTTAATCTTAGCAGAAGCAATGTCATCGTTAGACGAACGAACTATAGAAAACTTATTAGCTTCGACTAAGGGCTAACGCTCGAAACGTCAGCTTTTGTAATCGTTACGGTGGCCAATCTACCATTTCAACTTTGTTGATATATCCAAATTATTGCGTTACCCACCGACGCAGCCCCTAACAGTTTCTTTATAAACTACTAGCCTTTATAGAGAACTTCATTGCGTATCTGAATTTCAGTGGATTCTGTTTCTGGGAGAAGTAAAAGATAAAAAATGTACAACATTAAAACAATAATCTTGTATTGCAACAACTAAAAAAACTTTCGGTGAAAAACCCTGTAAACATTGGCGCGTTGTTTAAAAATATAACTCACCATACTAGAGAGGCGAATGCTCTCACAATATAATCAGTGAGTTTGAAGTAGATTACTCCCACAATTCCCTCAGTGGAAAATAAGCCAGCTCTTAAATGTAAACTACTCTGCGTAAAGAATATGAGTGCCGACTGTCAACCCTTAATATTTTGGGGGCCTATGTTGCCTTCTCAACCCCAATGATGTAGTCTCTGTGGAAATGAGCAGCGCATTTGATTGGCCAATGTTTTGGCACAGGCCGGAATTGTGCCAATGAAGTGACAGGTCGATAGATGAAGTTAGAGCAATGACGTCTTTGAGTTATTTCTAGTTTGGAGCTCACAGTAGAAGTATTAATAAAACAATATGAGAAAAAAAAATAGATAATCCTACTTCAGTTTGCTTTTTTGCAAAGGAAAGCTAGGGAAATGTTTTTAAATTAATTTAGTCCTCTATTTTTCTTTGGCTTTGATACGCAAATTTCTGAGGGAACAGACTTCAAGAACTAATTGTAATGCAGAGAACATCAGCTAATTCAAACATGATATAAGCTTGTTAATTGAAGTAAAGTCATTCAAGCAACAATACGTACGCTATTCACCTGTGGCAGATGTTCAATAACATGTTCAATCGTAAACACAATTGCTTAAGGTTACCGTGCACCTTCAGGGGAGTCTCGCGTGCAAGCGATGTAGCGCGTCCGGTTTAAACTGTAGATATCTAAACCCTATATCAAATTAAAGCTTATAGAACTGGCTATAAGACTCTACCAAAAGTTTTGAAAAAAAATTAATTGTGGAGTTTTTCATGACTTTAAAATGCGAGCGACCGAATCACCTTTTGAACGTTTCATGTCAAGCGAATTTTTATTTTCGCTTATTTAATGTGTTCCTCCGTTTCTGGGGCCAAAGCGCAGAAAATACCTCTTTGCGATTTTACTATGTTCAATTTCAGTGAAAAGTTACAGAACATTTTTGAAATAGGATTAATAAAATGTGGAGTCATCGTACAAAAGTTGCTCTTGAAAAAAAAGTATTTAGAAATAAAAAATTCGGAGACAACATTTTTTTTTTGTTTGTTTTTATGTAAAACTAGCGACTGTCAAAATTTGAGAGCAATCGAACAAATTCCCTTTAACTTGTAGCTCTTAAAAGGTAATTTGGGCGCTCGCATTTAGAAGTAATAAAAAATTCCACAATTAATTTTTTTTTTAAAAATTTTTGGAATAGTCTGATAGCCAGTTCTGCAAGCTTTAATTTGATGTAGGAGTTTAGATATCTACATTTTAAACCGGACGCGCTACATCGCTTGCACACGAGACACCCATGAAGGTGCACGGTAACCTTAAGGCAGACACACGCAACATAACGGAGAGAAAAGTAACATATAGTTGACTTTAACTGAGCGCTTTAATAAGCCGATAGGTCGCTGCTGAACGATCTAAAATACAGATTTCCGTATAACCTCAAACTGCTTTTAAACAAAGCAGCAGTCTCAGATGTGAACTCTCCTGTCAACTCTAATGTTATGAATTATGGAATTATGCAAAAGTCCTAAAATTTTTTAAAATTAAAATTTTTTTTTAACGGATGAGACTTCGCTAGGTCTTCGATTCCTTTAACTCTCAAGCGAATGGAAGTTGAAGTCTCGAACGAGCACAGAGTCCACGATCGCAAAACCGTTTGAATCGTCTCCATATCAGAAGACCAGTGAAATCAGAGCAGGAAAACTAGGGTAAAGCAGAAAATACTAAAGTCAAGAAAATAAATACAAAACTCGTTTTCTCAAACGTGAGAATATATTCGTACCGTGTGACAGTCTTTCCACTCATGGGAAGAATTGAAAAATATGCAGCTCAAAAAACGTTTCTCTTTGAATGTGTAATTTCCTTATCAATTATTAAATGCCATATAAAAAACACAACGGGAGAAAGAAAACTATAATTTAGGCTGGAAAGTACGGGAAAAGCAATTCCGAAGAGGTTTTCCTCGGCAAATGCACCATTTTGAGGAATTCCAAAGCCTGCTTTGGAACTATATTGCAAATTCATTTTGGTAATTTTACAAACATGAAGATGTCCAGTTTTAAAGTTATTTGGTTGTCTCACTCCCTGAAATACAGGAAACAAGGTGTGAACTATGATACAATGTTTAGCCTTCGGGCCTTCGTGTAACTTTTCTTCGCTTTACTGTTATGCAAAGTTGTCTCGCAATCCATTCCACGTTGACAGTGATCAATGGATGTGCTGTTGGATCTTGACGATACCTCAGCACGATTCAAAGCTGCAAGATGTGGAGAATGCCATCGTTGAGTCTGATCAAGAAGGCTTTTTCTTGAGTTGGGCCTAATGAGTTTTCTTTTCACGTCGAACGAATTTTCAGCAGAAGAGCTTGCTGAATACACTGGATTTTTCATCACCAAGACAGGAATTTTAGAACTCTTCGCAGATCCTCCAAGTTTCTTGCCAACTGTGTATTTGTCTTTTATTTTGTCAATTTCGTTTTTGTTCTTCTCTTTCCTCGCATTTATCTTGAAAGACAGGTCAGAATAGAATGCGTTTACGTATTCTCTCATTTCTTCAATAAAGGCCTCTTTCGAAGAAAAATGTGATGTAGAAGATTTGAGTGTTGCGACTGAAATATTAAATACTAAATATTAGATATGTTTCTATAATTCGTAGAATTAGGCTAATATTTCAAGCTCAACCTTGGATAAAAAATAGTACTCAAGAAATGTCATTTCTGGTAGGTGTTGTTGTAGATAGCTAATAGTCTAACTTGGATTCACAAAGGGAGTGGACAGATTAGCTGGTGAGTGGTACGAAGTAAATAATATCTTCTTCTTCCAACTGGTAGTCTGTCTTCCCATGAATCACTTCGATAGATTTCTTTTTTTACCCACCCCAGGTTTTCTCCGTTTCGCCAGTCCAGAATGATCAACCAAGGGTTTACCATATACCATATTCGTATATGAAATAACTAGACTAGACACACACACACAAAAAAGAAAAAAACTAACAAACCAATGACTTCACCTTTGTTCTCCTGAGGAATGAATATCTTATATTGATAAATTACTCCGATAATGACTGCAACTCCTAACATTCCAATCATTGAAGCCATAGCGATAAGGAACATATCAGAAGAACAATCAAACAGGCCCGTGCTTTGTTCCATAGCCTCATCTGGAGGAGCTGGCTGAAGTAAAGAGATGAAAGGAGCATTTAAAAGCGTTTTTAAAGTGTATAGTGCCTTCTGGGTTGCACATTTAGTAGGTAGACTGTATAACAAATAATAACAATAACAATAATGATATATAATATTTACATTGCGTATATTAACATTTGTATATGATCAAATGCGCATCACAACACTTTTTGGGGGGACTTTTGCCTGACTGCATGAGCAGTTTACAAACAATCGAAGGAAACCTATTTGAAGATGCCCCCTCCCCCTTCCCCCTTAATTTCCGATAGCTTAAGATTATAGGATTATAGGATTTCTTTATGAACAGAGGTCGGACGGTACTTTCAGACATTTTTTTTTTTGTTGCTAGAAGCTTAGGATTTATACATTACAAACATAGAGTTGCAAGGGGCACATGAAAACGCGCGTCAGTAAAATATATCTATATAGCGCCGGTATCTTGTTCTTCCAACGCGCTTTCCAATATAAAAAAGATCTATAAACAAGATGTAACTGATTTTAGTTTTGAGTTTATTTTAACATCAGACGCTGTTGAACTGTTTTTCGTATCGTATGGTAAAGTATTCCACGGTGTTGGGGCTTCAAAATTAAACCCATTGTGAATTGGCCATTCGCATTATCCCGCTCTTCAGACAGTTTCATCGTTTTTTCTTTACGTTCTAATTGGCTATTGAGTCATTGTCGTTCTCTCTAATTGGACGCTGTAATTAATTTGCTTTGTTTTTGCGAAAATGAATCGAAATTGGTTCTAAACACCCAAAAAGTACCTTAAAAGCCATAGCATTATTTAAAGGTCACAAAACAAAGCTACTTAGCACAAAAATAATGATGATGATGATAAAACACTTACATCAAGCGTCTTTGTTGTGTTCTGGATGATTTGAAATATTTCACTTATTTGCATGCTGATGTAGTCTCGACATTTCTGTTCCACGTTCACTGCCGCTCCTGACAGAACAACTCCATAACCAAACGGCCTGTCCAGGATTTCTTTCACAAAAATTTTGTCATTGAACAGTTCGTCTTTGTGCTCTGCAGCAACGTACGTTTCTATTAGAGCACCATCAACTTTTCCATCCTCCAGCGCTGTACGGAGGTCCTCAAAGTTGGTATATTTTTTATCTGTGATTTAGATATAAGCGAGGTGAAATCTATATTTATGCCCAAGTTTCCTCGCGGCCGTTAATGATCAAGATACATTACACAGAGGGTAAATTTTCAAGCTAATTTTTCCATTTTCAAAGTAAGTACGGTTAGATTTGAACGGGTAGGTTATCGGCCCCACAAGCTTGCATCGTAGATATCATCATGTTTAACTTAAGATTGTGATATTGATGACATTGATGAGATTTTTCTATTTCACCCTCCACAATAACACATTCGGGGAAGATGGTCAATACACGTGCTGTTTAAAATGACTCTAAAACAACGGGCGGTGATCGAGTGAAATGAGGCTGAAAGTTATTCGTGTCAGTCAGGTTCCTTAGAAAACCTTAATGTATAGTAAAACATACTTTCAAGTTGCTTTAAAAACTCCTCTTAATTAAGAAAAAATTATGCGCCATCTTGGATGAGAGGAGCTATCTAAGAAGAGATATGTTTTGTCATTTCCACGTTAAACAAATCAAGAAATCGAAAGGATACAGGTTATATGCAGATTAAATGTATCTTATTGAGTTTACAAAAAATTTACCAAAGAAAGGAAAGAAAATTCAAAATCACCTTCGTTTACTCTTGCGTTCTTCAAAATTCCAACGCGTTGTTCTGTAGAGTTTTGAATGGCTCCAATCTGAGAGAATAATTTTGAGGAGATAAACATCCACTTAACTAGTTGGCTGGACTTCCAAACGTCTAAAGTAACATCATAGTCCATATGCTACTCAATTAAAAATCAAAGAAGTTATTGGGGACTTTCTCGTATAGTTAGGACGAGACAAGAAGCCAACCAATCCATCATTAATTCTATCTATCGAGCGAACAATCAACCATCAGTATAGTATTTCCGTAAGTCAATTAGTCAGTCAGTCTATCAATCTACCAAGAAATCCATTAATCTACCGATGATTAATCGTTCAACTAATCAGTGAGTTTGTTAGTCATTAGGTGGAACATTCAAATCAGTTACAGATATTTTGCTGGCTATCTTATTGTCAGTCATAAGAGGAGATCAAATTAACCACAGAAAAAAATGAGATAACGAAGCATAGTAACTGCTCTTAAACTTCTTGTGATATTCTTCGAGATAACTCACCTTTGTGCCATAGAGGGTGACGGGGTATGGTACAGTTGAAGACGTGAGCGCTGAACAAATTGCACCAATCAGAATTGAGATAATAACAAGACCGGTGAGGGTCCATGCAATACCAAAGATACGAGCAGGAACAGAACGGGGTGAACGGTCTCCATAACTGAAGAAAAACTACATTAATATGCAGGCTCACATCTAGGATCACCGGCGCAACTTAGTTTCGTGCTTCTCTCTCCGAACAGTTGTCATGGAGATACATTAATACATTAGTTAATACATTAATTATGCAGGCCTATAACTAGGATCACGCAACTTAGTTTCGTGTTTCTCTCACCCAACAGTTGTCATGGAGATAAATGACCACCAAAATCCTTCACCGACGCCTTTTCTAAAACAGGCTGGAAATTCATCCGAGTTTTGCTTCATGTCCTGTTCAAGATTATAAAGTGAAAAAAAAAATGTTGAAAGGTTTTTTTTTTTTTTAAATCTAATGAGCTACCGCATCTGATCTGATCGAGGCACTAACATATAGACGCAAGATTTCAGAGGGAATAACATAAATTACGGAAACTAAGGGAAAATATTCGGGACTTGGACAACCAAAGGCGTAATATAGGCTGATCGCTAAATGCGGTACCGCTTAATACAGGTTCGACTGTATATCCAATTTGATGTTCCTCCAACAGTTAAATACTTGGCATATCTACTCACCAGTGCCCATACAACAAACCCGGCGATGAACGCCATGCAGCCTGAAAGCGCTACCAACGGAGCACAATCCAGCACGGCGCTTATCATGTTCCGAGCAGCTGTTCCAGGCATCCTCTTAACAGCGATAAACGCCAGTCCTGGAGATTCCACGAGGTTTATGTAGACATGACTTCCCATGAATCTTGTGATATATTCGTTGCCATAAATCGGGAAACTTATCTGTGGAACGTTATCAATGTCACCTAGAACTCCTAATAGGCTTTTCTTAAAGGCTGCTTTTCCTTTTCCGTTTGAATCAGTTTTAACTATAGTATCACCGTATTCGGGACAGATTCCGCAGGCAAAGTAGATCATGTCAATGACAATGTCACTCAATATTCCACCAAACTTCTGATCTTGCTGGTTCACTGTTAGATATGGAGAAGTCGACCAGTAGTTAGTGTACAGGACTTTCGGACAACGACAGGTTTCTGAAATAAAAGGTAAAAGAGGGGAAAAAATCGTCTTCAATTTGTTAACGGACGACAGAAACCACTGGCCAAATTAATCAGCTGACTCCCTTCCCACCCCTCCCTCCGCTAGGAGTCAGAATTCATGATACCAGCTAAGCGAACGGTCTGACAATTATTTATCTTCAAGGGCGGAGAGGGTTGGGAAAATTGTTTTTGTGTCAAAAAAATAATTTGTATCCTCCCTATCCCCCTCTGTAAGGCTCTGTAATATCTTTATGATTCTCCCCATAAGTAATCAACTGGCGGTCAATTTTGTTTGGTACTTCGTTTAGGGAGGAATGAACCCCCCGGCGTTAAAAAGTGATTGGTTTTTAAGCCCTCTGGATTTTAATTTCGCCTCTTTACCGTACTTCACAACCGTTTTACTTTTCGTCAGCAATACGTTCTATAAAATGAAAGTAATATGTAAGCTATGGCGAAAACGAGGCGCTTATAAGTCACGCAATAAGCGAACAAAACGGTTGCTATCTTTTCATTAGAATCAAAACAAATTGGAACAGAACAGAAAATAGAATTTGACTTTTTCTGGCCATTCTATAGCACCAAATCCATTGGCTCATGGTGATTTGCAACAATTTTCGGGGGCTTTTTTGGCAGAATGTGGAATTGAGCAGTTTATAATTCTGAGGAAAATGTTGTAGATGTACGTAATTTACTATTACAATGCAATATCTCGTTATCTTGATGACTGATTGTCACTAATAAGACATGAGTCACCAATGTAAAGCAGAACTGAAATCCTGAAAGCAAAATGCACAGTTAGGATGTTATCATTTTTCTTCTGTAGCGCCATTTTACTTTCGCTTCATACTTACCACCGTATACATAATCACTATACGGGCCCATGCCCTTTTGAGTAAACGCCGCCACTTTAATTTCGTAAATTGAGTAGGTTTGAACCTTCAGAATTATGAAAAGATCCGTGGATTTTGCTATGACTGTTTTCTCCTCCGTTCGACGAACCTCTTTCTCAGCCGTTACGATCCTTCGATATTTTACAGAGTATCCCATGAGAAGACCATTGACAAAACCAAAAGGCACAGGACTCCAGGTGACTTTGATAAACTCTGCAGCTTTTAGTCTTTCAGCAACCACGCTTTGAGGAGGCTTGCTGGGTACTAAAGATAAGAAAAAGAGATTCAAAAACAAAACTTAAGACTCAAGACTCAAGAGGCTCGAGGTTATACTTATAGCAACCTCCCGCGTACATCCATAACTCAATAGTGTACGGTGTAGTGTTTACCACTTGTTAAATCTTGAAAGTATTATGGATCACGACCTTTTTCGGCTATTCATCAATGACATGTTAAGGATGTATAAGCCTCCTTTGCCACATTTCAGGTGCATCAAAGATTCATCTTCTAGAAAGGATGCTTGTGAATATATTCACGAAGATAATCATTGCTTGCTTGACTAAGGATTTTTATATAGAAATTCTTTGCCATAAAGTTTTGGTATTGAAAACTCTGACTTTACCTCCATGAACTTTTATAGGCCACCCTTAATCGTTTACCGATCCTCTGCGCCGTCTGAAATATATTTCTTGTTGCTTTAGCACCAATGATTTTGTGTTAAACCAGTTATTATCCCTCACAAGATTTGTTACTTTCTCTTCGTTAAATTTGTAACTGGAAATTTACATACTGTAGGGAAAAATCTCCAACTCCTGGATATAAAATAGTTAACATTAAATAGTACAGCGCATGCACTCACCATCACCAAACGTATAAGCGATGTCAGAATGCTCTGAACCACAGCCCTTGGATGTTCTGGCGCACACCACAACTTTGTACGCTGTAAAATATTCAAGATCTTTTAGATCTATTTCAAATTCATCGACACCAAATGTCTTTCTCACCCAAGACGATGATCCATCTTCTTTTGCGTATCTAACCTCGTACCCGAGAAGAATTCCATGCACATGGCCTTGGCTAATCCTTTCCCAAGAAACATGGATCGAATTCTCACTTGTAGATTTAACGACACTGTTAGGGGGTGGTTCACTTGGCACTGGGTACAAAAGAAAAGCAATGCGAAGCTCAGTAAAAAGCTTGTCAGAATACAAAAGTAGAATTCTAGTTTAATGAATGGAACATTACTAATCTTCTTTACAAATAAAATAAAGCCATCTGATTGACCCGGAATCTAATGTAGACTATTCTGTTGTCATCGACATCAGCCAACTGTGAATAATTGAATTTCAGCAATGCTACACTGAAAAGGTGGCTCTTTCTTCGATGTTTAGCGGGTCAAACTGAATTTTGGATTGCTTGTTGCTGTGAGAGATGGAAAGTAAAGAAATCAGAGATAAAACGCTACAGCATAGACAAGAATCATCTGTCAGCCGAACTAAAAGTTGTCTCCTAATTTTTTAATCATAAACTCACCGTCCTCTTGAGTCCTGAGGGAGACTGCCTTGCTAGACACTCCGTTTCCGCTGCTTGTAAAGGCATACACCCGGATGGTGTAGTTAGTAAACTTGCTCAAATCCTTAAGCACGGTTTTTAAGAGATTGGGAGGCACTGATTTCATAATATCCGGTCGGAACTTTTGATTGATTTCTTTGTACACTATAACATAGCCGAGAAGAGGAGTAGAAGGTGCCTGGGAGACGGCAGTCCACTCCAACTCAATACTTGTCGAAGTGGTGCTGGTAGCCTCCAAAATGAGAGGAGCTTCTGGTACTGCAGAAAAAACACTACTAAGACTATCCAAATAACGTACAGAAAATATCGTTACCTCTTTTTGGGGTCTTGTGAAGCATTGTTCTTGCTAACATAGATATTTTGGCAGTTAAAATACAGTTAAGCCCGATTGCGCAATTGTTCACACTGTTTTGTGGTCATTTTCTCGGTTCTTATTTTTCCGTGCCCTCCAAAGTAAATAATAACAAGGAAATTTATGTTTTCCACCAAAAATGTGTCTTGATCTAATTTTAGCCCTTGCCTCTGGCTTGGGAGAAAATGACTCTGAGTTGAGACCGAAATATACTTTATGCCGAAGAACATTCACTCTGTGGTTTTATTATCGTAAGATATTAGTTAGTTTCGCCTGTTTCGCATAAGTTATAAGACACTTTGGCTCTTAAAAAATTGAAACATAACGGAGAAATTTTCATTAAAGATTCCATGTTTGCGAAGTGGTAAATCCTCGATGACCCATACGAATCTATGAAAATTCGGATTTCCTTTTTTTCCAATCAAAAATTAGGACTGTTGAGCACCATCTCTCAGAGGTAGCTACAGCTGACGTCTCTAAATGTTTTAAGAAATATTGTTATCGTACATCTACGTCAACCATTTACAAGAAGCGCGAGGCAGAGATCAGAGTGGTCCTCGATTGGAAGTTGTCAAAACTGAAGAAATTACCAAGCCTCACCAGAACCAAAATAAAAGTTTGCAAGGAAACAATACAGAGAGCTCAGAGTGAAAACTAGCGAATTGCGTAAAGTGTAAGAGCTTCCTAAACTAACGATAGAGGGTGTTATAGAAAAAGCAATGCAACCCTGTAAAGCTTTTTACACTCATCAGCTGGGAATTTCTCTGCTTGCATACCAGAAGTGGTTGTGATGTTGAGTAACTCAGCGGAAGTGTCCCCCAATGCCCCCTCTGCTATTTCTTCTTGGAGGGAAACAATCTGCAACGAGTCTATTCCAGAGTAGGTGACGTTAAAACTAGAAACAACACTTCCTGGTCTGAAAAAGCAGAAAATGAATTAAAGCCGTCATTTGCGAATAAAAATCGCACTGTATTGTTAACGGTGCTTCACCTTGTAATATTAAGGTTCAAAGCTGGTTTCAAGACTTAGCTTATCTCCAGTTTCTGTTGCAGGAAACTACATGAGATATTTCTGCCTCTCTTAGAGGAGATGCCAGTCAACAGTTACTTTAACTCCACCACTAAGTCAGTCCATGTTTCTAAAGATCCCTGACCATAACTGACATAACCTACCTGAACTCTAAAATCACCACAATAACGTCTTCATCTCTTTTGTTATAAAAATTGTAGACCTAGCGAAAGCAAACGTAAAATAAGAAAAACATTTTTTAAACCAAACCAAAAAATTAAAGCTACAAAATCTTAACCCTAACCCTAAGCGAATCCTTAATCTTAAACCCAGAATCCCGTATCCCGAGTCCCGTATTTCGCATCCCAAAGCCCGCACTCCGCATCCCAATTCTATAATCCCTAGTCCAAATACCAAATTCTGGGTGATGTGCCCCCAGCAGTTCTTACGCTTCTTTAATTTTTTGCACTCCAATTCCTTCGCGCATCCATACCCCGGTATGCGCACGCTAGACATGAACCAATTTTGGAATAAAATGTAGTTTTTATAATTGGATTTTTTTCCATCTTGCATGCACAATAATCGACAACAGTGTAGCTCTACCAATGTTTTGGACCATAATGTCCTTTGCACTGAATTGCGTAATCTTGGTGTACATAATGTCCTAATTGCCTGGATCGGATCATTTTTTTCAAATAGATCGCAGATTGCTAAAATAGGTGGTGCTAACTCGGGTCATGTCGTACCTAGGGGTGGTATTCTCCAAGGGACTAAATTTTAGCCCCCTTGCTGTTTGCAGTACTTGTTAGTAACTTGGCCAGGCAATGGAAGATCAGGGCTAAATATGTCGAGGACCATTGAGTTGTAGAGATTATACCTAGGTGTTCCATTAGTGTTCTTCCGTTCATTGCAAGAGATATTTACACTTATGCTAACGAGCATGGCATGCGCCTTAACCTTGTGAAGTGCAGGGAGATGTTTATCGACCTCTTGCACTATAAGCCGCACCATCCTCCTTCTTTACAGCTTTCTGGGTCTGAAATCGAGTGTGTCCACAAGTACAGGTTGCTTGGGGTGTATGTTAATGATAATTTATGCTGGAATATGCACTGTGAGTACATTTTTCAGAGAGCTTGCAAACGCCTGTTCGCACTGCGTTGTCTGAAGAAGTCAGGTGTCTTGGAAAGAGAGTTAGTTATGGTGTATTCCAGCCTAATTCGCTCAGTGTTGGAGTATGCCTCCCCAGTTTGGGCAAACCTGCCTGACTATCTTAGCCTCGTAATTGAGAGTGTGCAGATAAAAGCCTTAGAAATAATCTTTCCTGGGCTTTCCTACAGGGACGCACTTGTGCTGTGTGGTCTTTGTACTCTCTCTGATCGGCGTGCCGTTGCATGCCCTAAACTTATCCAGGAAGTTCGGTACACTGGTGTCCTAGCTAACTTGCTGCCACATCGCACAACTGTGTCCCATGGATACAATCAACGCTCAGGCACTCTTAGAGATGATACCGCTTTGGCTTTTACTAACCGTCTCGACAAATTTATTACATATAGATACTCAAAAGGACGTAAATACAGCAGAGTGATAATAACTCTCAAAAAAGAAACAACAACTTTGAGTTTAAATTTACAAGACATGTTTCGACATTCTCATGTCATCTTCAGTTGCAAATGAGCATTTAACTGTTGTACATTTGAATTGAAATTAAGGTACGCTACAAACTACGTGTCAGGGCTTACGTCACATTTGAATGTTAAAAACGCGAAAAATGTAAATAGCGCGCGCTTGACTAGATCAAAAAATAAATAGATAAATAAAAAATAAATAAATAAATGTAATAATAAT